GATAGCAGAAACGCGACAAGGTATTTGACTTATTTTTAAATGTGAATAACGACTAAAGGGCTCAAGATAGAGGCAAGCTGCAGAGGGCATTTTAAACTATCCGTCTGGCTCTACCTTTATGTGAATTTATGGAATAATTCGATTATTATTAACTGAGTAATTAAGAAAAAAAAGTTAACCCTTATAGCTAGGGAGCAACTGAGTTCACCCCTTAATTGCTCGTGCTTTCATTTATATGTACCCCAATTTTCATCAAGATCGGACACAAAAAATTTTTTTGTCGAAAAATTTGGAAGGCTATACCCTTTCGATTTTTTTGATAAAATAAAAAACAATTTAAATTTGCATACGGATAGAAGGTCACATGTAGATCTCAAAAATATACTCAGTTTTTTTCTGAAAGCAATATTAAAAAAGTTGTGGCAAAAATAAACATTTTCGATTTCTCCTCGCTTGTCTATTATCCTGATACAAAGTTCCAAATTCGAAAAGATCCAATTTTGTCTACAAAATTTTGGTATCAGGATAGCAGAAACGCGACAAGGTATTTGACTTATTTTTAAATGTGAATAACGACTAAACGGCTCAAGATAGAGGCAAGCCGCAGAGGGCATTTTAAACTATCCGTCCGGCTCTACCTTTATGTGAATTTATGGAATAATTCGATTATTATTAACTGAGTAATTAAGAAAAAAAGTTAACCCTTATACCTAGGGAGTAACTGAGTTCACCCCTTAATTGCTCGTGCTTGCCTTCATATGTACCCCAATTTTCATCAAGATCAAACACAAAAAAAATTTTTGTCGAAAAATTTGGAAGGCTATACCCTTTCGATTTTTTTGAAGGAATAAAAAACAATTTAAATCTGCATACGGATAGAAGGTCACATGTAGATCTCAAAAATATACTCAGTTTTTTTCTAACAGCAATATTAAAAAAGTTGTGGCAAAAATAAACATTTTTGATATCTCCTCGCTCATCTAATATCCTGATACAAAGTTCCGAATTCGAAAAGATCCAATTTTGTCTACAAAATTTTGGTATCAGAATAGCAGAAACGCGACAAGGTATTTGACTTATTTTTAAATGTTAATAACGACTAAACGGCTCAAGATAGAGGCAAGCCGCAGAGGGCATTTTAAACTATCCGTCCGGCTCTACCTTTATGTGAATTTATGGAATAATTCGATTATTATTAACTGAGGAATTAAGAAAAAAAAGTTAACCCTTATAGCTAGGGAGCAACTGAGTTCACCCCTTAATTACTCGTGCTTTCCTTTATATGTATCCCAATTTTCATCAAGATCGGACACAAAAAAATTTTTTGTCGAAAAATTTGAAAGGCTATACCCTTTCGATTTTTTTGAAAGAATAAAAAACAATTTAAATTTGCATACGGATAGAAGGTCACATGTAGATCTCAAAAATATACTCAGTTTTTTTCTAACAGCAATATTAAAAAAGTTGTGGCAAAAATAAACATTTTTGATATCTCCTCGCTCATCTATTATCCTGATACAATGTTCCGAATTGCATTATACCAGTCTCCTTTAAACAAGTTGCTGAATTTCTTTGGACAGAAGAGCTTGAATTTGCTTTTACAAAGTGCAAAGAAGCTTTAGTCGAAGCAGCCCCAGCCCTTCTTGCTCACCCAAATCCTACAGCACACTTGGCCCTGATGACAGACGCAATAAGCACAGGAATGGGTTCATCTTTGCAGCAATGGTCAGAAAAAGGTTGGCAACCACTTTCGTTTTTTAGTCAGAAAATCACCCTTTCCCAGCAGAAATACAGCACTTTTGATAGAGAGTTGCTATCGATATATGAATCAATCAAATACTTTCGATATTTTCTGGAATGTAAAGATTTCGTGATTTATACAGACCACAAGCCCTTAACATACGCTTTTAATCAAAAACCACAAAAAGCTTCACCTAGACAGTTCCGTTATTTGGACTTCATAGGTCAATTTTCAACTGATATCCGATTTGTAAAGGGCAAGCAAAATCTCGTACCAGATCTTCTATCCCGTGTTTGTGCCATAGGACAACGTATAGATTTTCAATCTCAGGAGCTGGATTCCGAAATGCATGAATTATTAAAGAATCAGACGTCCCTTTCGTTAAAAAAAGTTCGAATTCCTGGTTCAGAAATTACTCTTTTTTGTGACGTTTCTACCCACATCTCCAAGATCGTATGTCACTCAACAATTCCGAAAAAAGGTTTTTGACGTGTTGCATAGTTTCTCACACCCCGGAATTTGAGCATCTACAAAGTTGGTCAAGGGGTAGTATTCTCGAGTCACGAATATAGATTCGCATGCGAGATTTATGATTTGTCTCACTTGGTTTTCGTTCAACAAAGTGAGACACATTGTGAAACACGTATGCGAATGTCGGTATTCGTGATTAGAGAATACTACCCAAGGCTCGTTACGTTTGGCCGCATATGTCACGAGAGACTGCAGAAATTGGGCGAAATCATGTATACCATGTCAGCGGTCAAAAGATAGTCAACACGTGAAATCACCTTTAGGAAACTTTCAAAGTGCCAAATTTGACCATTTACATATAGACATCGTCGGACCTATGCCTCAGTCGAAAGGATATCGTTATTGCCTTACGATTGTAGATAGATTTTCCCGTTTGCCTGCAACGTGTCCTATTTCCGATATAACGGCAGAGACCGTAGCAAAGAAGTTATTTTCATGTTGGATATCTCACTACGGCGTTCCGCTTCGAGTAACTTCTGACCAAGGTAGGCAGTTCGAGAGTAATCTTTTTCAATCTATGTCCAAACTATATGGTATAGAGCTTATCAGAACAACGGCCTATCACTCTCAGGCAAATGGAATGGTGGAGAGATGGTATCAAAGTCTAAAATCTGCCATTCGTTGTCACGAAACAGATTGGGTAGAGGTCCTTCCATTTATATTAATGGGTATGTTGGGAGCCTATAAATAGGATCTTCATGCTACGGTTGCAGAAATGGTTTATGGAGAATCTATTCGCCTTCCTGGAGAATTTTTAGTAGACCATAAGTAAAGGAGCAACACGGGTTCTGCCTCATTCCCCATGTTAATTCCCATAAGAAATCGCTAAGGTTCATTCTGCACTTTTTTGTCCATATCAAGGTCATTCGTCTTGACGTCGTTTGACGTTTACGTGTTGCTCCTTTACTACCATAATAAATTAGAACCAGAACCAGTTGACTATATCACTGAATTGAGAAGACGATTTTCATCTATCAGACCTGCTACACTGGAACTGGCCACGGGAAGCAATCCACATTCGTTTTTAAAGACTTTAATTCGGTTTCACATGTATTCTTATGGAAGGATAGGTTTAAAAAAAGTCTTGAGTCTCCATATGAAGGACCGTACCAAGTCGTACAGCGAAAAGAGAAGCAGTTAGTTATTTGTATTTGTGGTAAAAACGTTACAGTTTCTATCGATAGAGTAAAGCCAGCGTATATTTTGAATGAAGAGCAGCCAAATCCATGATGTAAACAGCCTACAGATGTACCTTCAGGAGTGATACAAACTACTAGATCCGGAAGACAAGTGAAACTTCCTTTAATTTTTAGTGTTTAATGTTATATATTATATTGTATTTTTTTTGCGGGGGGAGTACTGTAGTGACTATCGCCCTCCTCACTTCGTGACTGCTGCAGACTTAAATCTACAGATTCACAAAAAGTGACGGGAGTAAAACAGAACGTCACTGTCAGATCTTCTCTGAGTAATATACGTTTCGTTTCCTTCAGTAATCGTTTTGATCGGCCCTATTAAATCACCTAAATTCCATAATCAAGTTACTGTTATTAATAAAAAAAACTTCTATTTGGTGCAAATTTTATTTAAAATTGCAAAGCACTTTCCTCTTTAAGCCATGCCATACTGTGTTAAGACTTTTTTAATGTATACTCTTCTAAAATTTTTGTATATAACAATACCCAAACAGATTCAATCGATTTCAACTAAAAGTGAACCTTATCAGTATACTAAATACTATGTGACTTGTCTTATGTCATGTAAATGATACAAAAAGATCTATAAATTTATCCATCAATGAGCTCTTTGTAATTTTAGTATGTAAGTTTTGCATGGAATGTAAGTTTTTCATTGCTAAAATTATATTAAAAAAGCTAGAAAACCTGAAATCCAAAATTATTAAAGGAAATAAATTCCAATACTCAAATGTGCCCGATCTAAAATAAAAATGAAGGAAAAGGAGAAAAACTTACATCGTCAGCAAGAAATAGACATTCACGATTCCATCTCTACTGGAACGTGCAGATGAGTGAAATTTACTCGAATGTTACTAAGTGCAGATGACATTATTATACGACTTCCTATTCTCAACCCATGATACAAAAAATTACAGAAGTATGACGAAATCTCATGCAGTTCTCGTAAGACGTATTGCACACTGTTTTCGATCAGCTGATACCTCAAATTCGTAAGAGCCACGCCTCCACACCACGATATGTCATCGTGACGTATCAATCTGCACAATATCATATCTTCTTTTTATAGCATCATGCATTCAACCACCATCCGTGTATCCGAGTGAATTCAACGCATCTGCAGGTTCCATTAGAGTTTGGAATCGAGAATTTCTATTCCTTATTGAAGAGCCCTAATAAGGATGAATACTGTCCAAGAACAAACCTTGTCTTAATTTGCACAATTCGTTTTAGGATTTATGGGTACTGTAGTAGCTGCAATTTAATTTATGTTGATATGACATCCAGGTTACAAATCGCTGTGTGTTACCATTTAGAGAATGGTGGTCGAGGTTTTCCTTACCTGTTGAATCAAATGACACCACCTGTAAGTCGCCCTGAAGCTCCACGGGAAACAATAATAGCCCATTCATTCCCTTGATAAGATTACTCAGCTTAGGAAACGTATTATTATTATTATTAATTCCCTTTGAGAATTTTGATTTTATTTTAGTTTATTGGTAGTGCAGGATAAATAATAAAAAAACTTCGTACACTGATAAAGTTTTATTATAAGGAGAAATCCATCACAGCACTAGTTTTAAGTCCTCTACCAATAAAATAAACCACATGGACTACTTACAAAACAATATTGTATCTATAGGTTTCAATTAAATTGAACTAAATCAACGATTTTGATTAGTTAAAGAAAAAATTCGATAGTTTATGCAGGGTGTTGAGCAAAGAATGGGTCAAACTTTAAATGTAGTTATTTTGGACAAAAATAATTGCTCAAACTAAACTGCATCTAAAGTTTAACCCATTCTTTACTGAACACCCTGTAAAGCTCAAAATAGTTTAATTACACATGAGCAAACATATAGAACATGGCGGAATATAGGCATCATATTAATATAAAATAACACGCTATGTATACAAGTCAATTTAATTTTACTTTTTTTGACTACTAAATTTTTTGATTTTATTTGTAACAGAAAATCTTAAAACAATTTCAGGTTGTAGACTGATCTTGATTTGAAACTGATTTTGGTTAAAAAATGTGCGTTTAGTGTAGTTATAAATAATTTTTCTAGACTAAAAGGAAAAACGTAACACAAAAATATAGATGGACAACTAATGTACATTCGGCATCTCCATGGAACAAGGTTGTAATTCGGTTTTAGTGATTTTGCAGGAGAATCAGAAAAAATATGATTTTTTAGAAAATATGTAGAGAAATGATTTGACAACAATAAGCTAATTGAAAGATAGGTCACTACTTTTGTAGATACATAATTTGGAATTTTATAAAGCATTGAAAAGTTGAGTTTGAGTGAGATACTATTTTGGGAGTAAACATTACTCTTCATAGAATAAGATTGTAACTCAAATACAACCATTTTACATATGAATTAAAACATGCGGGGACAACAAATTTTTTTGCTTGAAATTAAAAATTAAACTATCTTGAGACGATACAAAAAATATGATTCGAAGTCTCTAAACGTCATGTCAATTTATAAGATCATTCCTTGGTCTATTTTACAACTAAAATTTAATTTAAACATGTGCTTTAAATTGATTTTTTTTAAGAATATTTAATTTTTTTTAAATTAGTTTTTCTTTAAAATCCCAAACATTCTTTTGAAGATTATTTTGGTTTGTAGTACTAAGATAAATTAAACCCGATTAAATTAAAATTATTAAGACCAGTGGCAACCTAATTGATATTTTTAACATCCTGAATTTTAAAAGAAACAATTTAGAACATATTTGAAATATTAGTTATAAAATAGGCCAAAGAATTACCTCCTTCAATATTGACATGATGTTTGGAACACCGTGTATAAATATTTCTTGTAACAAAATTATCAAAAAATATCCGCTCGAATACTATCAAAATAGTGGTACATTCTCTTTGGTGCCTCTCTTTTTGTAATCTTAGATGGAATCGTTTTCATCTTCATAGGTCGAATGCAGAAGTCCCTCTTGATCTTCATCCATGTGCCTCTGCTGGTAAATTATGCCATCTCCCAAACTATACAAAACATATTGTAGATACAATTTCTATTAACCTTTCCTATGAAAAGTGATGGTGTAATGATGAAATCTAAGGTAAATGATAACATAAATTAAGTTTCTTTTCTCACACATAACAATGAGCAGTAGTTGAAATAACTAATTTTTATGAAATAGATTATTAAAGCACAATGTTTTTGTAATGGTGTTTCTCTCTCTCACATATAATAACAATGAGCAATATGTAATTTATTTAAAATGTAATATCGCAATATAAAACTTTCAATAGAACTAGACAACAGCTTGTGTGTTTTCTTCCGCTACATGGTCATAAAAATGAATATATTTTTGATAGAATCACAACAAAAAATAACTAACGAGAAAATCTTATTAAGAATAATAAAAGAACTGATGTGGATACTGAGAAATGGGAAATATCAAATGCTTCAACTACTAATTGATGGCAGTAAAATATACAGATGTCATGCAGCAGCTACGTAATATTCGACGCAGTCATTTATTTTGAAAATATCGAAGCTAAGCTTTGTTAAAACAGTAAAGGAAAATGTTTTTATGCACCATTAAATTATGGTATAAAGTTTGGTGTATACGCGATGCAACAGTAATTTGCTATGACAACACCTTCAGCTTCTGAATTAAAACAACATAAAAGAATCTATAACGAAATATTTGATGTAGTCCATCACAATAATACAAAGGATGGACCATTATATACTAATTAAATGTATAATTCAAGACAGAAAACCGTAGAGTAAATTCATGAAAGAAATAGTCAAACAAAAGATTATTTAAGATAAGGGTATAAAATAAGGAACTCGAACCTAAAATTCCGACAACACTCATGGTAATAAGAAAAAAGCCATTTTGCACTTCATTTGAAAACAAGTAATATGGTTTTTAAAACAATATCTTCATAACTATTTTTATTACAATTGTTGTATTTTACATCTATTTAACAATTCATTTCAACCTAGTCGACTGTTAAATGAAATGATACAAAGTTCAAACATTTACACATAAATTAAACAGTTAATAATGTTTTAACATAAATAATGTTATTTAAAGCCCAATTTATAACACGAACACATACACGAAACAATAAACAAGCATTACTATTTCACTGATGCGAACAACTTTGCCATGCACCTTGATGTCTACCATTTGGCAAAGCAGAACAATCTGGACGCACTAAGATGTTACGAGTATGTTACAAGCTTGATTACAAGCTTAATTATTGAATATGCATTAATACAGAGTCTGTAACAATACCCTTACCCACATGACCAAATGTATGTGACCAGAATGAATAACTTCAGCAGTAACCACAACAGAATGCCACTGGCGTATTTGACAAAACGTGGGAAAGGGGTATTATTGAAGACATTGTAAAAATAAGCTGTTTTCATAAAATTGAAACGCACAAAAAGTATTTACTTTAATTCCATAATTAGATAGTTCAAAGTGAGTAATTGCCTTCAACTGGGTAAAAAGATTTAACCATATGCCTAGAAGTTTAAGAAAATTAAAAGATTTTTAGATGTTAACATAAACGTTGTTAAAAGCTTTAAAAAGCAGCTGCTGGTCAACACAACCGTTTAGTTTAGCAAGTGCTGGCAATGTCAAATCTTCAGTCCCTCTTTAGTAAATGGCGTTCGCATGTGTAAGATAGAGAAGGATGTGGTATCGACGTTGCAACTTACAGGTCGGTAGCGGGCTACCGATTGGTGACTCGACCCGTGAATGGCAACACTGATACTTTGTCGTTCCTTTTCCTGCATGTGCGAGCGCCAATTACTATTCACTCCAACACAAGCAAAGCAGGACCGAAAGTTTGATCTTGCCAGGACTGTATATATATTTTTTCAAACCCTAATTTTGCTTACCACTCCACTTGATACACATGAATGCAGTTAAATTCAATCATCGTAAATCAAAATACTTGAAATTTAAAATGATACCACAAATTATTGTGATTAAAATTTAGTACAAATAAAATGCAGATAATAAAAAAAAATAATAATAAAGAATCAGAGAATAGATCTTAATAGTTCATAACCAGAGATAGATAAGGTTTAACACTCTTGTAATTATGTAAGATTAGTGCAGGGTCCTTTCAATCAAGACTAAAAAGGAACTTTAAAAAAGTCTATAAAAGTAACAACTTTTGTCTAATAATTTATTTTGAAATCCTTTTGGTTCTAAAATGTTTTTATGTATTTTTTTTTCACCTGCCATTGGAGGATACGTAGAAAAGTTTGGTTAAATAACTAAAAAATTCAAGTAATAAAATTAACAATAATTAGATTTTCTAAAAGGTCGTGGTAGGTTATTTACTGTTAAAAATATTGCATTCAAATTTGCGATAAGGGTCAAAATAAACGTTGTTCGAAAAATTCACACCGATTTTTGCAAATCACGTTACAATACGTCATTAGTGTGACGTAATTTGTGTTTAATGACTGTTAACTTTTAACATTCTATTAATGAATTTGATATATCTACGTCTCTAGTTTTTTATATTTAAATATGAATAGTCTTTAAAATAATAAAATACTTGTATCTTTTACTGTCACTGTAATAGTAAGTGTAATTAGAGTTTGTACAACAAGAGTGGATATGATAACCATATCGTACGAAGATGAAATTAGAGGACGACGCCGAAGGCTTAGCAAACAATTTAATATCAATCATTGAAAAGAGATGCGTATGCTCCAGTAGCGGGCAAAAACCACTAACATTTAAAATATGAGAAAAATGTTTTTGAAAAAAATATCTGACAAAAGTTGTTGCATTTGATGAGTTGTAATATGCAGTGCTGGGCATATCAAACCCTCTGGCCTGCTTTGTTTATGTTAAAGTGGCTGGTAACGCACGAAGAACGATACTATAATTATACAGTCTTTGACAATACCAGTATCCCACGTATTATCAATTGGAAAATTAATAACTTTAGTAGTAACCCTAAAACAAACCGGGTCGCTGGATGCTGCGAAAGATATTCGAAACATTGATCTTAAGTCACCAGCATTGATGGCTTGGTTACGGCTTAAGTGGGTGACAGAACTTGCACAACTCGGGGCCCACTTAGACCTTAGAATGGTTTGAAGAATGCATGAGCTGAATGAATGGAAGGAGTAGCGCATCCAAATGGAGGCACAATAAGCCATCTGAGCGTCAGTGCCGCCATGCGAACTCTAGAGGAGGGAAAGTCTCCAAGCCTGATTGAGAAGAGCTAGTGGCTGGAACCAAGCCTGATTGGGGAGCAGAGAGATGCCTGAAAGAGTAAAAAAAAAACAAAAATAATGTGACTGGCCTATTTGATACTTAAGTTGTCATAAAAACGGCCATTTTCATTAAATGCATTGTTTTATCAGATCACGTAGGATACGGATATTGTTGAACACTCGTTAGATATATATTAGGTAATCAAAAGCAACATATTGAATAGTCATATTGCTGAATTACCTTTTTAATGATATGTCATGCTAAAAGGTAATGGATGTGTATTTCATTCTCCCCGTTAAGAATTGGCCGCAATCCTAGCCTTTTCAGACACACTGGAGGGATCAGAGATCGGGTCTGAGGGGATGGGATTCAAGGAATGGTGGTAGGTATCTGAGAGGATGTCACTGACCCAGAATTTGCCTTTTGCTATGAGAAAATTTCTGAAAAAATCAGCAGGCCAGTCGGCAATGGGGCTTGAGTCCACGACCTTTTGAATGCGAGGCGGATGAACAACTGCGTCACCTCGCTCGGTTGTGTCATATTTTATACGTTCCCCATTTAAAATTGTATTTAAGTATTGGAAACAAGGGGAATGACATATAACAGTTTGTCTAAAATGTTGACGCAGTTCCTGATAATAGCTATGGTACGTTTTCGTTTGACAACCATGTGGGTACGTGTGTGCAGCTCTAGTCAATTATATAGTAGACGATATTGTAATATAAGCGAGATATATATTATAGTATCGCTCTCCTAGCTTAATAAATAGCGTTTGCATGCACGAAAAAAATCAAATACACAACCAAACTTATACAGAATCATCTATTATTTTTCATAATTTTTGAGATGTATGAACACTTTCTGTTTATGAATAAAACTCAATCCTTACCAAAGACTTTTAATAAAAAAAAATTGTTGACAAAACCACAATGGTATTTTTTGTTTTGGTTTTTAAAACGAAATGAGATTTAATTTTTAATGGCCAAAAACAAAAATTGGTAATTTTAATAATCCGTGGTGCCATGCAAGCTTCTAGTCGCCTTGGAATGCTTCTTATTTATTAAATTGTCAACATTGTTTTAGGTATGTTTTCCCATTCTGCTAATGCTGCATCAATAAACATTTCATGCATTGTTTCGACTTCTATTGAGCTGGTCCCACACGTGTTCGGTAGGATTGAGATCTGGTGAACATGCAGGCCAGTCTAAAACTGTGACACCTTCCGTTTCAAGACATTCTCTAGCCACTGTGCTAGTATGGGAAGGTGCATTATCGTGCATGAAGATAAAATTATCCCCAATTGCAGCTCTCGAAATACTAAGATTGGTTCTAGCACTAAATTAACAAACCTTCGACCGGTTAAATTTGTTGAAATGGTAACAATGGAGGTTTTGTTCCCAGCATAATACCTCCTCAGAACATTACAATTCTTCCTTGATATCTTGGGACAGATCTGGTAGCCTGGAGTCTCGCTCGTCTTCCTGGAGCTCTGAGAACCCGAATTTGATGGTCATCTGATCTTAGGCCAATTCTGGTCTCGTCCGAAAAAATAACATTTTGCCAATTCTCAATTGTCCAGTTTTGGTGTTGGAGGCACAATTTAGCCAGTCAATTTTATGTTGCCTAGATAACTGTGGGACCTGTAACTCTCTTCTACTCTACAACCCTCGAGTGCAGTCTTTTTCTTATGGTTTCAACTGAAACGTTCACACCTGTAACTTCCAGAAGTTGTCGTTGCAGCTCTGGATGAGAAACACTGGGATTTTTTCTAGCAATTTGGCACACAAAGCGGTCCTGTTGTTCAGTTGTGACTCTTTGACGACTTTGTCTGGACCTGTTCTTGAGAGTTCCAAGTACCTTGCATATATTTTCGATACAACACCCTGGGTAACACCTACTACATCTGCTACGTCTCTTTGGGTCATTCCTTGTTCAATGAGAGCAATAATTCTTTCTCTCTGCACACCTATTAGTCCAAAAGAAGGCATTTTTTTTTGGACCGAAATAACATTGCCGAAGAAAAGTGATTTTACTAGTGAACACAAAATTCACAAGATAATAAATCGTAGCAGTCGTTTCTTCTTTATTATAATGTTTAAATAGCCTAATCTTAAAGTTGGTTAACAAATTTTTTCCTTACAAAAAGTTTATTCAGAAATACAGAGCGATTCCATATAAGTTTGGTTGGGATCCCTACTATTTTGTAGGGACATATTGCTATTTCTTAAACGGTAACACATAGAAAGTAGGTCAAATTAGACAAAAGTTGCGCAGTATTGTGCTCATTAAAATGGTGCCAAAAACCTTTGATATCTACAGGGAGATTCAAAATATCGGAAAAAAATGAAAATTGTAATTTCTTTAAATTCATTAATTTTTTGTCCGATATTTTGAATCTCCCTGTAGATATCATAGGTTTCTTGGCACCATTTTAATGAGCACAACTTTTGTCTAATTTAACCAACTTTCTATCTGTTATCGTTTAAGAAATAGCAATAATACTGTCCCTATGAAATAAGTATAGATGTTACCATTCGAATAACCGATAGGCCTTGTGTGCAAGTTGCCCGGCGACTGGCCTGGCAATATTGCTATCGTGCATGTGCAAACTCTATTTATTATTCTCTTAACATAAGCGTAGTTAAAATATACACTTCTTTCTGATGAGGGCGACTCTAAAAGATCTGTTCAAAGTAATACTACATACATTAATATAAGTTTTGTTAAATCGGCATCTGTTACGATTTTGTACATTTTAAATTTGAAAGTAGAGTAGTTTCGGGAAATATTGCGTCGGAGTGGGAAACATCGCACGAGGTTCGAAAAAGAATTTGAGGGGACACTTGACGTGTCGCAATATATCTCGAAACTATTCAAATTCAAAGTTAAGGCCATAAGGCCATTTTTGATCCGACTGTGCTCCGTCATGTCGCATTTCATCTCATTTAACATACAGTATCTGATTTCAAGCAAGTATTTATTACAATAATGTCCATGTATTTTAATTATATCCCGTATAATTATGAATCCCTCGTCAAAATGGAATGAGGATGTATTTTATCGCATTAATTGCATTCATTGAAACTTGTAGTTAACAGATAAGGTAGATAATATATCGTTTGATTTATTAATAAAATTTCCTGTTGAAATAATTTGTTTTCAATCCCAACAACTCTAATAAATGCAATACAAATTATGTAGCATTGTTAAAAGCATTAATAATTAAACACATTACGCAATATGTAATAGAAAGCTTCTTATTAGATCAAAAACTGTTTTTTTCTATAAAAATCTAAAGAATATTCTACTACCCAATTTAAAATGCAATAGATAGACTAGAAAGAATTCTAGCAATGTCTTTAGTAAAAGCATACGGACCTAAGTAGTTTAATGAAGGCTGAAAATGGAAAATAGTAACAACTCAGTTATATAATTGCCCATTGGATAGTGTTAATTGCGCATGTAATTATTATAACAGTTCGCATAACAATACCAGAAGTACCTAGTGACTGGAAATAATTGTAATTTATTTTAGAATATTATCAATGAACAGTTAGTACGACTTCATTGTCGTATTATAAAATAAAATATAATTTTAAATGTTTTAACCCTCAAATATTTCATTAAATCTATCTTAAAGAGCAATTATAAACAGTAGTTGTAACTGTGAATAATCGCATTAAAGCATCTTTAATTTGTTTTACAAAGAAACAGACTGATGTTCAAATAGACTGAATATAGACGTCTGACAATCCAGCACTCAACTTAAATTCTGCAAGATGGGCCACCGGTAACGCTTTGGTCTGTAATAATTTCAAGTGATACATATAAAAGTTAGATTTTTAAATAGGACCTCCTGAATTTTATGTATCTGAATTGCCTTCGCTTTTCCCACGCTATAACCAGTTTTATATGAAAATTGTATTGATTTCAATGACCTGTATAGTCCAAAAGAAACAATTGAAAAGCAATTTTTTGGGGTAAAAGTTTTTGGATGTTAGCCAACATTTTATGCCGATGCACTTTTTATTTCAATTCGAAACAAGTATGTACAGTGCGAGTCAAAAATCAAATACATCATTTTTTTTTTTAATTATCCATCCTGTATTTTATATCACCATTCAAAAGTACCTTGAGTGTTAAATACGCTGTGGTATTGTTATATTTAAAATCGATGACAATTCAAATATAAAATAAGGGTGCCCTATTAAAAAACCTAACTTTGATATGTATCACTTTCTTGGAGAACCGTGTACAATCGAAATCATTTTTAAATTGTTGCCTTTTCTGATATATATCTCGCTGTGAAAATAGATTTAAAAAATCAAATAGTTTTGGCTCTACAGACAGAGGCGTTACCGGTGGCCCACCCTGTATATACGGGGTGTCCTATTATATTTTCCGGTATATTACTAGCTCATGACTTAAACGAATTAAGATAACGTGCATATTTTACTGAAATGTTTTGTTTGTACTTGTTGTCACTGACTCACAATCTACAGTCACTTCACAAAAAAAATTAAGCTAGTTTCAGGGCAATAAATTAGGTATATTAATTTGCGTTGTCAGAAAATAACGTTTTTATACAAAAAAAAAATCAGTTAAAACTTAATCATTTAACATTTTAAAGGAGAAACAAGGTCTACTCGGAAATTATTGATTTTGCAGGTTTCTGTTAAACTAAAATCTCAGTAATTACTTCAACAATTTTAAAAACTTTATCCACTTGGATGGCCGAAAGACGTGGCTTTCGAAGTTAAATTTTGGTAAGTACAAACAAAACTTGTAATTTTAAACATTTTAATGAAAAAAAGTTATATGTTATTAAAATACCTGAAACGATAATGGAACATCCTGTATTTGCTGTTCATAACTTTTTTAAATCAGGCTATTAAGCATTCCAAACAATATGGCTGCTTGAGGCCTTCGAAAGGATCAATGATGTCAATGATATATAGTTATGTAAATTGATATATTTTTCAAAATATCTAACATAAGCTCATGCCTTGAAGTAGACATGTAGGTTTTTAATATATTTTAAGGCGAAAATTTGGTTTTAAAACACATTTTAATTAATGAGCACTTGCGAGGCAATATGGCCGCTCGCAATGCGATCCGCTTTGAGCAATTTAAATAACTATATATATCATTGATCCTGCCAAAGCCCTCAGTCAGCCATTTGGACAGGTCGTTGGAATGCCTAATAAAAGTCAAACATGGTATATTAAATTTGACGTTGACAAAAATGAGAATTAACAGGCCAGTTGATAAGTGTAATGTTGTCCAATTTTTTTATACAAACAAAAATTAATAATAGAATTTACCCCACAATTTAAATTATCAATAATGTATACGTTATATTCTAACAAAATTTTCTTATGCCTCCTGTGATGGCAACGCAGCATTTTTATCAATGTTTTTGAAACATCGATATTCGATGGTTTTGCCATCAATGTTACATGTTACAAACACCGATGTCGATATTTACCTTTCGATGTTATAATAATAGTAAACAATGTATGTTTCAACACTTTATTGCTCAATAAATTAAGCTATCTTTTGAGCTTAACCGAAACTGCTTTAACGAAAATTAAATAGTGTGTTTGATTTATGATTATTTTTAATAACTATTAATCTTAGTTAAGATAATTCTCTCAAAAACAGTAGATACTCATTCAAAATTTTTACTGTAATCTCATTTGACAACCGCTGTTTTTAAGGCATCGATATTTGCTTTCGATATCACCATCGATATTTCCCGTCGATGTCAGAGCACTAACGCAGCATTACACTATCAAATTAAAATGTCGCATAGCACTTAAGCGATAACTCCAATATTAAATAAAGTGTCAAACAAAGTCAAATTTCCATAGCCCAGTTCGACTTTCAAAAAAATGTGAACAGCATAAATAAGCTGCTGTTTCTAATAAATGCGCTTAAACATAATGATAGGGCATGTCATACTGACAAGTGATAGCGACTGTCTCTAGTATGTTGTTGCGTTCGTAAATAAAGTTAACTCAAAAATGAAAAAGAAATGTACTACTGCAAATTTGTTAAAAATATTTATTGCAACAAATTTAAAAAAATCCACAGTGGCAACCAGTCTTCATAACAAGTAACTAATGAAGTCAAAATGACTAAGAACAGAATCAAAAACAATTTGCGAAATAGCTAAGTAGCATTTTAATTACGTCCTGACCTGTTCTGGGTGGTGTCCATTGAGTGATAGGTACTGGCCTGGAGGCGTGAGTGTACAGGATACTCTAAACCGTTACCCAAACTACAAAAAGTCATAAAAAGTTATATTATTCATTGCGACTAAAAATACGCCATCTGGAATAATAAAGTACATCAGAAAAAGGGCACGCATCATCAATCTATTTTTAGAACTTCGTCAATAATAAATGTTATACAAGAGGTCATTATTTGTTACAAAAATAAGGTTACTTTTCCCTCTAAAAATCAATCTATTTATTTAATTTTTAAGACCTGATTATAAAGTTGAAAGAAATAAAATCTAAGGATGTAATTAAAATTTCAAAAAACAATTATTTTTAATAAAAAAAATTGTAATTGTAATAGTTTTTATGTGAAGAAGTTGCTTATATGGAAATTGGTTATTAATAAAATTGCCATATTTTTTTACTATGACAATAGCTGTCAGACCTTTAATGTAGTGTGTGGTCAGTTTTAGTGTTAAAAATATATTTTTTCTACAACCACAGTTCAAAGCAGGCCTTTGCGTTTTACGTTCTCACAATAATTGAAATATGACAAACTTGCCGCAAAATTTTGTACTATTTCATATTCAGGGTGTTCCAAAAACATACTGAAAAATTTAAGGGGTGATACGGAACATCAAAACAAACATTTTTGTTTAATAAACATACGTCCGCAAATGAGCCGTTTGGGCAGAAACAAGGAAAAATGGTTCTGCTCAGTTTTGTTTATTTCAGTGATAAATAATTAATATTAATTTGAAAAATGTTCACAAGGACTAAATAAACTAAAATTAACAATAATTGTTCAAAATCTTGAACATTTGCTTCAATGCCAACGTCAGTCGGTTCAATGACTCGCGGATCCTATGGAATATTCCTGGAATAGCTTTTACATGTGTAAAGCTAGCCATTATTTTGCCAAGAGATCTTACTCATTGCGAAAAGGCGTTTCGTACACTAAAGATTTCAGATAACCCCAAAGGAAAAATTTAGGGGTTGAGATCTGGAAAACACGTGGGCCAGGACAAGGGACCTCCTCTTCCAATCCATCGTCGAGGAAATTGTTGGTCCAAATACTAGCGCACGTTCATGTTGAAACCACATGTCATTTCTAATATCTAAAGGGACATTTTCCAATAATAAAGGCAAAACATTTTGTAGAATTGAATTATTAGATTCTCTCCAACAATACCAGCCCACATGTTTACAGAAAATTTTTGCTGGTGTCGTAAGATTAAGATCACAGTATGAGGATTTTATCATGCCAAATATGACTCATTCTACTATTAAAATAACCAGTGCGCGTGAAACATGAGTTATGGTCCAAAAACCATTGGCAAAAAGCTGTACGCATTGTAAATGATAGGAGTTGTTAATGTAACGTCAACTTAGAGAATCCCGTACGGTGTACAATTGAGCGAACACTTGTGGATTGATTTTTCTTCACACGGTGTAGAACTCCTTCAAATTCAACTGTACGAGCTGTTCTAGGACGACCAGCACCACCTGAACACTTTAAGGATGGAATCAAAGGTTGTATGATGAGGTTGCAAGCATTCCGGATATATTTCTTCATACAAGCAGGCAACTTCAACTCCATTATGATTGGCTGCACCATAAGCAAGAACTAATTTACTTTTTGGAATGATTTAAACCATTTTATTGCTCTACAGTCCAAACAGTTCGTTTATTAAATAAAAAAAAGTTTGTTTTGATTTCCCCTATCACCCCTTACAGTTTGTCGGTATATTTTTGGGACACGCTGTAAATCATGACATCACTAATCCACACTTCATTGCTAGACAATTATAGCAGAAAATACCAATTTTTTTTTAATTGTTTTCCAGTAATTCTCATAAATTAGTACTGTTAATTAAGTAGACCTGTAAGTTGTTTTTATAATAATAATAATCTCCCTAATTCACTCCCTTACGAGTGAATTTCAACCCCTGAAGAAGACTGAGCTTGTGTGGGGAAGGGACGACTATTATTATTATTTGCGGAGGCGACTTAAATATGACTGATGGTGCCATTCGAGCTATAGGTGAGAAAAACCTTACCCACCATCATTAATAATTATCTGTTTGCAAATAAACTTATTAGTTTAATTTTTAGCAAAAATTAGAGAAAGTATAGACGTGCAAAAATTCAATTTTTGCAGTAATTAAATTGACTGCGGACCACAGTTTCAGAAACACTTTTTTTAATTCCTTTTTCATGTCCTTAGATTTTATTTCAAATTTACAGTCAGTATCTGTTTTAAAACATTATTGGTAATAGCATCAACTATTTGAAAGTACAAAAAAAAATCCATTTAAGATGCACGACATTATTCTGGAATTATACTCATGGGCGTCCATTAAGTGTAAAAATATTTCTTAATAATATAGAAAATTCAAACCTATAAAAATATAAAGTTTAAATAAATTGAAACTAAAAAATAGATCAAGCAACCAGATTATACATTTAAATTATTATAGTATATTGTGTTAAAAAACCACATTGCCAAATTTTTACCACAGATTCTATATAGATTATTTTTATTGTCCAGAAAAATTTATTATATTTAACAATGAGAATTTTACACAAAATAATTATCACAGATATGGTCTTCTTTAAAATTAAAAATTTCTAGCCTGGAATTATTAAAGTATATTTAATAATTTATTAATTGGAAGGAAAATGTAATTAAAAGATGGCACCCGAGTTTCTAGACAAAATCAACTCAGAAAAAAATATAAATAACACAAGCTAAAAAATTAAAAGCAGGCTAATACATGCACATTATTAAAAAAGAAAACCTATACATCACTTTGTTGTTAGTCAAAAATGGACGCCCATGTTTTTTATGGGTATAGGTTTTTAGAGATGTTAGTATAGACTTGTACAAAACTTTGATATACTGGTTGCTACTGATCTATGACAAAAAACATATTTCTTACAAATAACATTTATGTTCCTTTGAAAAAAGTTTAATTCGCTATAAATATTAAAAAATAAAAATTTTCAAGATACAAAAGAATTATTAATATATAAATAATTATTCTATAGCTTTTATTTCTAGAATAATTTGGTGTTTCTAATATTATTAACAGATAGTACTTTTTTGGGGTGAGAGCATAGTTTTGGACAAAAAATACATTGTCTAACTAGAAATTAATTTTTATCTTCTGTATCCTTTGGGTGTTAAATTAATCAAAACTAAACAATAGTTATTTACATTACCAGATACGAAAGTTAACTTTCACATCCTGTAATGTATTAAACTTTTCATTCTCCCCAGACATTTAACCCTATAAAATATTCAGTAATAATAATTAGGAATAAAATGTCCCTTTCAATCTTTCAGAAACATTCAACAATTGTATTTTTACATTTAATTTTAATTTAAAATAAATATTAATCAAAATTACATTTTTACTTTTTTGTCGAGGGCGCGAAAGTTTTTCATAACAAGCAACCACCTAGCAACCAATCACCTAGCATGTTTAACTTTCGTTTTTATGATCAAGATAGAAAGTTACAATTTCATACAGGGGAGAATGAAAAACACGTTATAATACATACTGGGTGTCCCATAAGTTTCTGACCAGTTACCTGAGAAGATTGAAAAAAATGGGATAAAAATGACTTTTACAGTATGAATTCAAATAAACCAATTGTCAAACCAACCCTTATAAACCACCCCTAACATTCAGTTTTCAAATTAAACCGGGATGTTTTTTTTTGTTAATATGATAAAAAAAATTCACGCTGTAAAATGTGCCAGTTGAAAAATGAAAGTTAGGGATGATTTTTATAGGACTGTTCGACAAAGGGTTGATTGGAGTTCACCTTGTAAAATACTTTTTCATGCTATAAAGACTAATTGTTTTAAACATTTTATCTTATTAAATAACTTATTATTATTTGACCAGAAACCTATGGGATATCAGGTTAATTTTTTTGATACCTAGTACTTGTTGATATTTTCCTTTTTGGTCCTTTTTACATTTTTTTGATAATTTTTTAAACCGAAAATACTATGTTTATTCATAAGACTTCACTGGAATTTTTTTAAGTACCTAAATAGTTATAAGCAATTTGTACTTGCAAAGCAATAGCCATAAGCAACAGACATCTACAGATTACCAAAATTCTTGCATGTACATCCATAAAAAATTTCGAAGATTTCCAAAATTTTGTGCTATTTTTTTTGCAAAAGGGTACATTTATCTTTTTATCTGCCATTCAAGCTATTTTTAAATATTATACCTAACTGATAAATTTTTTCAAAATAAATTATATAACAATGACTAAGAAAGACTGTCATAACAACATGACACATCCTGTAATTACAATTCGATATATTAAATATGTATATTATAAAAACTACAGTGTGGCATTTATAGGAAGATTATGTATAATTATAGAAACTAATATCATAATTTTGTATACAGAGTGGAACAAAGTCTGGAAATGCTTAATTATCTCGTTCAAAATTTGGGATAAGGAGATTCCAGATTTGGCACTTGAAATTTGATATAGTCAGAGTACTAATTATTTTAAAAGTTGCATAAGGTCAATTAAATATAGAATGCTGTAATTTTGACATTACCAGTTACATTATTAGACATTCCAACAACCTGTTAAAATTGCTGCCTGTGGGCTTTGACAGGGTCAATAAAGTTATAGTTATATAAATATTGCCTCGCATGTGGTCATTAATCAGAATTGGATTAGCAAAAATGTGTTTTAAAACCAATTTTCAACTTTTGAATATAGTAAAAAAAATAATTTTTACTTCAAGGCACAAGCTTATGTTTATTATAAAAAACATGGATGATCAATCTATGTAACTATCTATATCATTGACCCTGTCAAATACACCAGGCCCACATGGTTGCCATATCAATGCCAACAGGTAACAATTTTGTTTGGAATGCCTAATTAGGCATTCCAACGACCTATCAAAATAGCTGCATATGGGCTTTGACAGGGTCAATGATATTATAGTTACATAGTGCTCAAAGCAAGTCGCATTGGGAGCAGCCATATTGCCTCGCAAGTGCTCATTAATCAAAAATGTGTTTAAATAAATTTTCAACCTTTAAATATAGTAAAAAAAATTACCTACATTTTTACTTCAATGCATAAGCTTATATTTATTTTGAAAAACATGAAATCCACCAGACCCACAGGCTTGCCATATCAATGCCAACAGGTACCAATTTTGTTTGGAATGTCTAATAAACTAAAACTGACAGTATTTTGACGTGTTTTGAAAACAAATATTAGAAAAAAAACTGTAAATCTGGCAACTCTGTAAATGTCAAATCTGGAATCTTCATGTCTCCAAATAGGCTTATCCCATTTATACTCATTTGTGAGATAATTAGGCGGCTCTAGGCTTTTGTTCCACTTTGTATACAATATTTTGTTTGTGCCTTTTTTTAGACATGTAACCCTTTTCACTTTTGTATTTAAAATTTTTCAATTTCCTAAATAAAATGGACCTGTTCAATTATTACCTTGATTTTAACTTAATACCAAAGTGAATTACATAATTTAGATATATGAGAGATGAATAAATTGTTTTTTTAGAGTCACGAGTGTGAATCACTTTTTTAGTACAAATGGAGTAAAAGAGTGAACAGATTCATTATACTCGTGCTACCACTACTAATAAAACAGAGATTAGAGATTTACATGTAGAAAATGATTACATCATAAGATAAATACCAAAAAAATACCTTGTACTAACTGGCAGGAACCATGTTTTACAATTTTCACCAAACACTTCTTTGAAGTTATTAAATTTACCAATATGAAAACCATATTTATCAGTTCCTACATCCCTGAAATTTGGCGGCCGGAACGCTTCTGTTAAAGAAGAAAAAAAAACTACATTTTCTAACATACATATTTTTTTTTAACTTACCCAATGTAGTTCTATTTTCAATAACTAAGTAGCAATGGTAACAAAACAGTGAAAGTAAACTAATTCCAAACATTATAGACACAAAAAAGAGGAACAGAATATGGAAACGGCCCATACCAGGCAAATCTCCCTAAAAAATGTTCTAGGTTACTAAATTTAAACTAAACTCATTTTAAAATAGTTCAATGTGATAAAAATGAAGACATTTGATAAAAACAATCAATTATTGAAGTCATTCTAATCTAGATTCGGTATCCTAACCACCACATATCTTGAAATATACAGGGTGTTTCCGAACTTGGCGTTCCAAATTTGTAGGGGTGGTAGTTCGCATAATTTGAGACCGATTCGCAGATTTCATTTTTCCAAAATATTTAAAATAAAAATAATTAAAAATTATAAACAGGTACGGTCCTGCACAGCGATAGGATCGCCTCGACTCGCGCTACGCTTAGAATCGACAAAATTGCAAATCGCATCTGTTTTTGAGGACTATTGCGCTACGCGCTCAGGGTAGGACCTGCTCTTTGATTTTTTTTTAATGGCTCTATTTTGTTTATTATAATTTTTTTAGAAAAAAAAAATCTGCCAATCGCTCTCAAATTATGCGAATTACCACCCCTACAAATTTGGACGCCAAGTTCGGAAACACCCTGTATATATATAAAATTAATAATGGATGCAACTTTGTTGATGCACCCCATTCAAAAACATTACTAAAAGGGGTTCACTATACAAAGTATACTGAGGTTTTATCTTTTGTTTATAAATCAAATAAATAAACAGTGCCTACAAGTTATAAAAAAAGTAATTAAATATCAGAAATTAGGAGTTATAAATATTGTAATATACACTAAATGCTTACCTTCCAAAATGATATGAAATAGGAAAGTGATGTTAGGGATACATACACACAATACATGAGTGCATATGCTAAGAACAGAACAAAAAATTTGTAATTCGTAAAGGAAACACAATTATTTATCCATGGGCAGTGATGGTCCATTTTTAAGACACAGACACCACACACAGAACAGTGATGAGCACGGTCAGGTTTTAAAACCCTACATTTTTCACAGAACCGTACTCCCCCATTCACAGTGATATTAGTAATTGGTAAACGTTTAGCTAAATTTTCTAAAATGGTGTTTTGAGTTTCAAAATTATCAGCATTATTCATATAAGCTTCAAAAATATTATCTGGTATAGCATACTAAAAAAAAAAAAAAAAATTATGCACACATTTTTAAATACCTATACTTACAAGTAAAATGCACTACTCATATTAAATATTTATTATTGAACCAGTTGATTTAATTTTTCTGTACAATTTTTCTTTTTTGTTCTCATTTAATTTAATTTTATACTATTGAACATACAAGAAATTCCCATTACAATAAAAAATATGCAAAAATAATTTAAAACAACTTTCATTTAAAAAAAAAACACCAACACTTAAGTGAGTAAAATAACAAGTATTAAGTAATATTTAATCTATTTTTAATACAAAATATCAATAAAAAAAATCATTAGAAATGAATAATAAATATTCTTACAGCTTTTCTATAGCTATTTAAAGATGTACCCAGAATATCTAAATTTAATGAATTTGTCCTTTTTTACATTCTTGATAGATGTCTAAATAAGCCATAATTAGTTATATGAAATGCAATAAAGAATAAATCACTTTGACTAGTATATTTTACTGATATTCTAAACTGAACTGATTAATTACTTTATGAAAAAATAATAAATCTACTGTACTGCTTCAAAATTCTAGACATTCCATTATTGCATTAAGTTTAATAAAATTATTATAATCATAGTTGCCAAATACTAAACTTAATCTGATTGTACAATATCTCAGAAATGTGTGTGAACAGACTCTAATGACCAAATGTACATCATACAATTGAGACCAAACTGACAACCATATTAATATAAGCTGAGTAAACTATTTTAATAGAATTCAATGAGAGATTGTTCAAGTTCCTTAAGATAAAACTTAAAGTCTTGAGAGCTTTATTTATTGCATGAGTGGTACTAGGAACAAACGATAAATGTTGAACCAAGAGTAGCCCTATTTATCTCTTTAACATGTTTAAGAATTGAATCCTCCATTGAGTAATAATCAAATATAATCTTGTCATGTCATGTACCAATGTACCATTAGTATCACTTTGACACTATTAATGGGCATATATATCTTTAGGTCAACAGCAAAAAGTATAAAATTACTATATTGGAAAATATCTTCAATATCATTGATACATAGTAAGAAAAATACTGGTTCCAAATGTGAACCTTGTGGAACCCCTGCAAGTATTGATACTGGTTTTTTAAATGACTTTCAAGCCAAGTTAGAAAAGCATCAAAAAGGACAAGCTTTTTTAATTTAAATAACAATAATTTGTGGTTAACACAGTCAAAATATTGACTAAAATCAGAATATATTGTGTCAACTTGCATAATTTCATAAAATTTTGAAATAATATTTTGTTGATACATCATCTGATTGTAGATCTACCAGTAGTAAAACTATGCTGGTTATTAATAATGATTACTGCAATAGCAAACAAGGGATTAATAATTTTTGATTTGTTGCTATGTATTAGTCTTAAAAAATAGAAACTTGTTTTTTTTCTAACCCGTGATACATTTAAAATCTGTTCTGAATACACAAAAAATATAAAGCCACCCTAATCTATAGGATGTCCCTGAAAAAATACTTAAGTGCAATGTAGAAATCTCCCAAATATACATAGTACTTGGACCAGATATTTTAGTACTAGATATATATTGGTCATTGGACAGAATCTCTTGGACATTTATAAGCTTATTTTGTAATAGCTTTCATAGTAACAAAAAAGAGATAAGGGCATAATTTACAAGTAAGTACAAGTATTTATAATAATTTATGAGTAGAATACCAAGTAGATACATGTACATGAGATTCAGCTGTTCTAAGAGAAAACAGAGTAAAGGACAAATGTAAATTTCTTGAGACTGATTAGTCTACATAAGTGTTGGTTCTCATATATTTAGTTTTGAAGCATTTTTTGTTTTTCCGTAGAACATCAGAATTGGTCTCACAGTAACATCCATCATTAAGTGGCCATCCTAAATTATAATCTGAAATTATGCTATTCTATATATGCAATACAATTTAATACTGAATAATGTATTAGAACACACCAAAAATAATAAGTGGTTCAATTACTAACTACTTGAACTAGAGTGCAGATAGGATAAATGTTACTGAATTTTATCTGTATCTATAATGGACATACATTAAAAATTATACTTACTTTGCTAGGGACTGTACCAATATCAGTGAATATAGTCTGAAAGTAAGACCAACAGAACATAAAGAAGAACAAGTGATAAAATATTAAATACAGAGTTCTCTTTGTTACATCTTCAACCGTCACTACAACAAAACTTAATTAGTATATAATAAAGATTTAAATCGAGAATATTTACGTAGACAAAGTTGAACAACATAAGCGTAATAAGACCAAACAACTATCGTTACAATAAATAAGACTGGTATCCATTTAAGGGTTTTAAAACACCAAAAACATGGGCCTTGGCGTTCTTTACCAGGTACAGCCATAACAATGTTTTACATAATTTTAAATCAGTCTTTTTAATAATTTCATGTCTATGATATCCTAACCATTGGAATATTATTGGGCGGGGTTAAGTTTTTACCTAAAAAATATAACATCCAAATAAAGAAAACAAAACTTGAAAATTACCTGTACATACTATTATGAGTCATTAATGTAAATATAAGTAGGTATAATTATTATTTCATTACGATTTTGATTTTACTTTCATCTACAATATTTTTAAGGTATACTGTCAAAAATTCCAATGTCAAAAAAAATCTTCTCTTTTTTACAATTTTTGTACCTCATAAGTATGAGCCATGAAGGATGACGACAAATAAAAAGGTCTGCTTCCGCCTCGTTTCTTGTTCTATGAAGTGTTATGCAACCAGTATAGCATTAACACTTTTGGACCAATCTTCTAGGAATAATAATTTTTCATTTGTAATATCCGTAAAATGATCGAGCGTTCTTTCACAAAAAAATATTCAAAAAACCTGTAATTTTTTTTACCTTAAGCGGTTCTTATCAGAGTTTTAGTATAATTCGATATGAAAGGTTGGCCACATGAGAATTAAAGGTACGATTACATAAGTTATGTAGTTCTTTACAATAACACAGTATAATAAAAATAGAAAAGATTTTAAATTTTGAACAAACCAAATTATTACCGATTTTTATTGACAACTAATGTGAACGAATATTATTAAGTAGGCATGGAAAACAAAATATGTTATTTATCTGTCAATTCGGTTAATAAAATATTTTCAAAACTGTTTTATTTTTATTTTCCTATCTGTATACAGATATAAGAAAAGTATAGGAATCATGATTTTTTTCGACCTAGAGTTTTCGACGGATTTTTACGTTTTGAGGTCCCCTGAATCCGTTTTGACTATTTTCGCGATGATGTCTGTGTGTATGTCTGTATCCACCATAACTCATGAACCGATACACAGAAAAACAGCAAATTTTAAACTTAAGCTTTATTCCATCGTCCAATAAACTGATTAGTTTTTGGGCAGAGTCGGAACATCTGGGGGGGGGTACTTTATAGGTGGTCAATTTAATATTTTGTGGAATATATCTGTTATTTACGTTTGGAGAAGAAAATTCTTTAAATAAAAGTTACTTCTAATATTATTATCTATAATTTTTGTTCTATACAAAATTTTCCTAAAATGGTCCGTATTCGAGAAATTTGACAAAATGTAAAAAAAATTATTTTTTATAAAAATTGTTCAAATAAAAGTTGTTTGTAATATAATTCTCTATAATTTTTATCCTATACATAATTTCATCTGACATTTTGTTCAAAATTTATTGCAAAAAAAACACTGTTGGAATCAGTTTTAATTATTAGCGAAGCGAAGTAGCATACAATTCGATGAAAAATTCGGATATTTTGATCAGAGCATTATGGGGTCTATTCTGTAACAATTTCTTTATATTTAACGGCCTTTAAAAATATTTTCTTCTTTACTTCTGTCATTATTTAAACGGATCTTTAAAATACATTAGAGTACTATCTTAAAGAAATCTGTTTAAATAATGACAGAAGTAAATTAACGAATACAAATATACTTTTAAAGGCCGCCAATATTTTTAAAAACCGTTAAATATAAAGGAATTTTTATAGAATAGACCCCTATATCGGTTAAATTTCAGCGTTCTACTTTTAATTATTCGGAATTTCTTGACCTACGCCCGCGCCACTTTAATCGCGTCTGTCATACAGTATTCGTATTAAAAATACACCCTCTGGCGAACATGAACTATACTAAATTTTTGATTCATTGTCGGGAGAAGTGTAACAAAATAGGGGTAACTTTGATGACATTTACAAACATCAGTTGATTTTGAGCGCTCGTCTTTTCGCTAATTAACAAGCTATCTATTCGAATAAAAGACGATTGTAAAGTGTATTTATTCAGGTATAATGTTGCTTTTAAAAAATTCCAATACGACCATCCTTTTGGCTCATAACGCTCGCGAAATAAAATCAATGCAAAACCTGGGAGCGGGCCTTCAACGACAAGACATGTCACTTCAAAACGGTCTAAATAGTAAATTATAAATACTAAAGTAGTACTATAGCGGGATTTTTGCGACAAATATCCTTTAGATCAGGGAAGCACAACGTTTTGGCGGCTCGTTGGCCGTTGGCTAGTTTGGCCCGCCTACGTCAAATTATACATTTTTCAGTAACAAACTTGCATTTAGGCTGACGACTTTTTTTTAAGACTTGATCAGCAGGATGGGTTATACATTATAAGCTGACGACCTTCCTTTTCTTCAGGAAAGCTCGACAGAATTATAACGCGAGGACTTTTTTTAGAAGCTCGACTAGCAGCAGAAGTTGGTTTATAAATGAAAGGTGTCATCGACTTTTTTTTTAGAAATCTGAACCGACCAGGCCCTCGTACAATTACGTTTTTTTAAATCTGGCCCTTTGAAAATCTGAGTTGTACAGGCCTGCTTTAGATGAAGAGTGGACAAGAATTTTTCATTTCAGACTAGCGATTTACGAGGCGTTCTCAAAAAAAAAAACGATTTAAAAAGTGTAAGCTAGATAGCCCGGGAGCAAATGAAAGGGGAGCATCAGGACATCGAATTGGACCAATATACTTACCAATTGGTAGTTCTATTCAAACATTTTAGAACCCCTGTTCTAAGCGCATAATTGTTTGATCTGCTATACTGTGAAAGTGTTTTTTTGCAAAATATTTTCTGTTCTTTTTTGAACGATGAAAAACTGCGATTTTTTCTTTATGAAGATATCTACGTATATGTATAGGTACGAGACATTTTTTGTTACATACAGGTAGTCCAAATTTCTGGTTGGAAAGGACTGAGTGATTATTGAAATATGTATTATTTTAAAATGTCAATGCGGTCAATACCTTTCTTATCTTTATTCAATTCTAACACGCGGGTCGTTTTTTTAAGAACTTCCTTTAATTGCTATTCTAGAGTAGGTTTGTACATAATAGGTCTTTTCCTTTGCATCGGAAGTGTAGCACTGAGCTACACCACTTCTGAAAATATCGTTCCATTTATACAAATTGTATGGATAGAACGATATTCTCAGAAGTGACGTAGCTCAGTGCTACACTTTCGATGCAAAGGAAAAGACCTATTAAGTATGGGATAAAAACATACATTAATTATAATAATTTATTTACCAAAATTATGAAATAACAATTTTTAACCACATGACCAATCAAAAACCATGCATGGCGTATTATAAATAAATCTTGAAAGTACATTAAACAAAACCATGAACGAACACATATAGATGGATGTACGAATAAAAACGCCATCAATGATCGTTACTTGTAAAATACACTTAAAACATGTAATGTAGGCGCCAATACACAGTTTTTTATTCTTCGTAAATTCGTGAACACATTCGAACAGATGGAATAGGAGCAGGGGCTTTTTACCGTTATAAAAACCCTTATCAATATCATATAACTTGCGGAAGAACCTGACTCTGAGTGTAGTTTCTCACGAGTCCCGTAACATTCTTAGAAATCATAATACTTGTGATTCTTGTACATACAATTATAATTTTTAGTCAGTCTAAGTCAAGAAAAAGAAAATATCTTAATTTGACAAATTCATACTACTGAACTCTGGTGTAGATGTTATAGGAATTCTAAATTTTCCATAGTAAATAATGGAAAATCAATAAATTGTATATTTTTCGATAAAAGATATGTACTATCATAGACAATGTTTATATGCAACAAGTATGATTGGATTTGTCATATTTTTGTCCAATTTTTGAAGAAATAATTTAGTCCATCCTTTGGGAACATTTAAAATACGATTTACTCTTTGTTATAGAATTTAATCAAATCAAGTTTTTTAAGTTTTTCTTAACTGAGAATGACTCGGTAAATTTTTAATTTTTGTTCATTATTGCAATTCTCCAATTTACACCTAACTATTTAGAATTTGATGTGATAAAATTTTATATATTGACAATCTATTAAAACACTGAAAATACTAAATGAAAAAAAAAGTAAAGCTGCATTTCATTATTTACCAATCACTTGTTTGAACATTCAATTTAAGTTGACTCAAGTTTAATTATTGCCGTTTAAATTGATCAGATCAAAATAAAAATGCAAATGAAGACTTTTGTGTAAGAAGGGGGTGACTATTTTTTCGAAAATGACATTCTTCAAAGCATAAATATAATTTGGTGTAAGAATGAGACGAATATGATAACACCGAAGTTATAAGCGCATTTGATATGTCTCCTTACACCAAGCAAACATTGTTCTGATTTTTTTGACATTGTCGTTAAAATGATGATCCCGTTCTTGCGCCAAATAAACAACACGTTTTTTTAATAAAAATTAGCTTAGAACTTATTTTCATGCAAAAATCATGATGTACCTACTCTATAAAAAAAGTCGAAAAAACGAATTTTGTTTTGTCTCCTGAAAATTTTTATAAAGTGACATTCCTTTCTTGCCTCAAGATCTTCAAATACATAGATCTGCTCCGCCTAATCCGGACATACGAAAATCAAGGCGACTTGATGATCAGGAACGGAGTAATCAGAAGGAAGTCAATTAGTTCCATGACAGAAGATAATTGGGATATGCCTTGGGACGAAATGAGAAAGAAGTAGTTTTGTGAAAAACTTCAAAACAAAAAAGCTGCGCTGCAAGAAATAATGGAGATAGTCTTGCAAGAAGGGCTCTAGCGCCCTTTGTGGGACCTAAGCCGTTCTGCAGTATCAGCAGTAACACAATATATATTATAAATGGGCAGTAGAAGAAACGATAATTGGAACAATCTCTTGGGTCTACGACAGGCTAAGATACTTCTGGGTGATTATAACCAGAAAAGATCAGAAAAAACCCTTACCGAGCATTGTCGACTCAAAGGATACCTTAGTAAATTGATAATAGAAGATAATGAATACAGATTCTGTTAGGACGAGGACGACTTCTCCATTCACATTCTGACTGAATGTGTAGCACTCTAGAATCCAAGGGCACTATACTATACCAAATCGAAGAGAGCGATCTACCTAACTTGAAGCCACTCCAAATGCTACACAGCCTTGAGAAGATAGGATTCGAAGGGTCGTTATAGGCATGGAGACAATTTCCTTGATGTATTAGTGACAGAAGGGGGCGCAATAAATCTTTTAGGTTGCAGTGTATTAATACAACATATCGGGTCGGTGATGTAGCAGTCTAACGCGCTTATATTCATTTATAAGCAAGTTTATGTGTCAGAGACTGCTGGGCTTCGAATCCCAGACCAGACCATGTGGAGTTTTAATTAAATTGCATGGTTCGGTATAGGATTTGATGTGTGCCGTATTAATAGAAATTCAATTTCTGTTGATATGACATGCAGATTATAAAAAATCGCCATACATTACCGTCTCGATGATGGTGGATGAAGTTTTCCTCACCTGTAAGTCAAATGGCACCATCAATCATCTTTAAGTCGCCCCGGAGCGCCACGGCAAATAAT